TTAGACCAATGAAAGAGAAGAAAAGGAAACCATCTCCTCAATCCTCAAGATGATAGCCTAGCCCAGCAGTTAAAACACGGTGCCCATGGTTCATCTATCTGAGAGATGAGCAGTAGACTATACTGCCCGGTCCTTTACCCTTTTATAGCCTTGCACTGGCAAAGACAGTGATACCTATTGCAAAGTCACAGTGGAAACAGGTTGGGAGAGCTATCCCAGGATACTGTTTCTGCTCCCTTTACCTATGTGTCTTTTTTTTTTTTAATGTCACTTAGTGATCAAACAAGCAAGGACACGCCAGATGCAAATGGGTGTGAGGCAGTGCCACCTCACTGTTTTTCACAATCAGTGTAAGTGTTAACGCAAATGCTTCTCATCACGACTTGTAAGTACATGTCTGCTTGACATGTAACATACAGTTCAGAGGAAGACCTCTTAGGAGAATTCCGACATTTCCAACTGTCATTCCCAATAGTCTGCCAATAAGGTAAAGCTTGGAAGGGGAAGTTCAAAATGGTAGGAACCACAAGTATTATGTTAGTACTGCTTATGTAGGGCTTTCTTTTTTAACTCTGAAAGGTCTAGCAGATCTCAGTTGAAAGGATATGCTTGTCAAAGGATCTCTTGCCAGAAGGAAGGTAATTCTATCAATAGACACCATAAAAACACATCTCAAATTTTTATTTATCCTTTTAGGTTCTGAAAGCACGTTAAGGAAGAATAACATTCCAAGTTGGTTACAAAGTGCTAATTAATAACTAACTTCAGTTCTCCCAGAGGTAAAATATTCACATTGTTTTTTAATGAAATTAAGCATCACAATCTTCATCTTCTAATTGTTATAAAAACATTTAGCAACAATATCTGTTTAATTATTTAGGCATCTCTTAATGGTGTAAATATTATCAGCGCAGTCATAAATATTTTCTGCTTTGTCCATAGACAATCAGTTAAGGATCTGTTGCTTGTAGGACTTAAATTAAGATCTATTTAAAGCTGCCTGCTGGCCACAAAATAATTACTTACACTTGCTAATGCCTGAATCTGTTAGATTTAGCTTCAAGAAGAGTTCTTTGCTTTCACAAGTAGGGGAAAGTTATTTTTCTTATAGAAATTTCATTGTTAATGGTATTAGGGAGGATTAGGGTGGGGTTGAAGTTGTTGAAAATTTAATTAATCTAATCCTTTTAACAGTAATTGTTTTCATATTGATGATTCTCTGTAACAACAGTATTACAGATCACACCCATATGAAATATTTACACGAAATATTTTAGCATGTAATCTCTCCTCCAGCTTTCTCTTTCCAGAACAGTAAGGTTTTCAGCTCGATCTTCAGCTTTCTCTTTTTTTCTTAATCTCTTACTACAAATGCAGGCTTTTTTCTTAGGGGACCAAAATGAAATCTTTTTTTTTTTTTCTCCCTACTAATTTTCTCTCAGTATCATCGTCTCTCAGTAAGTTATGTTAATGATCATCAAATCATGAATCTTCTAAAAGAGTATGAGGGCTATGAAATAAAAATGGTTCAATTGATTTTGGGGGGGGACAGGGGGAATCTACAGCCATTTGGTATAGATTCTCATTAGAAATTATTTGTTTACTCATCCATTTCAATAAATTGCTATGCTGCTGAAATTATCACTAAGAGTAGAGTCAGATGAAGGACAAAACTGTCATTCTGGTCAAACTCTGATCATCTCCGGTGTAAACTGGGAATTGTTCTTAATCTGCTCAAATGTCACATTATCCAAGAGAGACTTTCTCTGACCTCCCAATATAAAATTACAGTCAGTATCTCTCCTCCAACACCATTCTCCCCTTTAATTGGTTTTATTTTTCTCCAGAGCAGTTACCACCCAGTAGCATTATGGGACACGATGTATTTGTTTCTTTAGTGCATCTCCCCCAACTAAAATGGAAGCTCTGCTGAAAGCCAGGACTGGGATTTGTTTAGGACTGCATCTTGAAAGTCAAGACAAGGGCCTTAAATATAGTAGTATAGTGGGCAATCAATAAATAATTATTGCATGCATGAAACTTTTTTCTCATTTTTCAGGTGCCTAAAGCACAAAATCAGGGCAAAGCAATAAAATTGTCTCCTTGTCCTGGCATGCATTTTGATGGCTGACAATTTGATGTAAATGGAAGCATTTATCCTGAGCTGGCTGTCCTGCTGAGCCCCAGTGGAAGGGTGTCCTTGGGGAACAAAAGCAGAAGAGTGCTTTGTGTGGCCATGTCTTCATTATAGGACTAAAACTTTGAGTTGTGCAGTGCTATCTGGCATCCACACATAATACAAAGAGTAATACAAAGCAGAGTATCTCAAAGGATGTTCTCCAGAGCACCACTTCTAGGGCATAGAAAGAGGGGTTACTAAAGCGAAAGAGCTCTATGGCCAATTAAAGGTTCTGAAACTAGGTATTACATGAAGCTAAGGAAGATTCATAACTTCAGAATATCTCAAATGTATGATAATGTTCATTTGGGCTCTAAAACTCTTAGACTCTTCCTTTCTACTACCAATCTGGTTTCTAAGACCGGGTTCCATCACGAGTAACACCATTGACTTGAGAACTGTAAAAGGTCAGGGCAGGGGCAGGACACATGGGTCTTGGCTCAGTCCCTTACTCACCTTTTTATATGACCATGGGCAACTTAGAGAACACTTCTCTATGCCTCAGTTTTCTCTTCTGTAAAGTAGCAGAAGAAAGGATTACCTGGGATAATGTATATAAATGGTCTGACCCCTAAGTTCTAAATAATGATAGTTATTGTCAACACATTTTACCAAATGTAGCAACGAATGCTTTTTAGGTAGATATCCTCAAGTCTATTTCCTAAGACATAAAACCATATATGGGTTTGCTAGGATCCACCCATACCCAGAATCAGCCTGCTATGTCTCCCTCTCGGTCTCAGTACCCTATCCCCCTTTGAGAAAATCTGCACATCGATGGTGAAGTCCAAGAAATGCCATCTTCCAACATGACTTAATACAAACGTCTAATAACTCACCCTGGTGTATCCTGCAGAGCTGATTTCCTGTGTTTTGATGCTCTTGACCTCAGATGAAGATGCTTTTGTCAGGAGGAAGGTGGTAGCATCCAAGTTAATGATTGTGCAGATGGCTACATGCTGGTCGATTTTGAAGTGACCATATTTTTTCAGTAAATTTCAACTGAAGGTGTGATTTGTGTAAATCTGACCCCTTCCAGTAAAATGTGCATTTACATATATTTAGAATTTATAAATCTTGACAGATTCCACAATATTTATAGCCCTCCATAAAAAGCCTTTGCCAGTTTTCAGAGCTTTGCCTTTGGCTCTCTGGTATGCTTAAGAGAGCTTAAATAATAATAAATTTGGTGATATATTCCACCTGGAACAGAAACTTATTTTCCCCCCTTGGCTCATTTTGAAGGGGATACTATAAATAGTGCCACAGACGCTGGGATCAGGAATAGGGAATTGAAATTCGAGAAAGAAGTACAGAAACATTTCCATTATCACTGATGCCTTGAATGTATTTTTAAAACAGTTCTGTTCCTCAAATAATGTACCTTCTCTCCTTTCTCCTACCCCATCTCAATTATACTTAAGTCCCCCAAACCTGTTGCCAGCTTTAGGATTCAGTTGCACTAATGGGGAAAAAAAGAGTGAAAGTATTAGCTGACATAGAAATTGCCTCTAGGGAGGCCAAAGCAATTCTCCAGCGTTCATCTCACATTTCACGGGAGTCAGCTGGTAACTGAGCGTCAAGGTCTAAAGTGTAAATTCATTATTTGAGACCCAGCTCATGCATCCTGCAGGTATGATGAAAAGCTCTCAGTTCATGAAAAAGAAAAAAAAAAAAAAAAAAGTCTAATTGTAATTACAAGAGAAAGCCTAAGGACAATGTCAGAGGGTCGATTCTTTCACCCATCCATGCTTATAATTACCTAGTAGAGGATTAGGGAGAAATGCCTGAATAGTTGACTCCAAATGATATCATTTATTTTCTTAAACACAAAATAAACAAGAATCAGGGAGCCAGCTGTTTGCCGTAGAATCATCTGATGAAAACTGAAAGCAGCCATTAAGTGTAGCATAAGTGGTGTTATAACTTGTTGTGATTCAAGATTTATTTCCCGCTTCTTGTTTGAGTGGAGGGTGAAGGAGACAGCCTTTGTCAGGGGGAAGTAATAGTAATGGCTAACATCCCTGGACAGCTGACTCTGGGCCGGCACAGAGTAACACATTAAGTGGCTGTGGCGCATACTTCTCATTAAGTACTGGATTTTCCTGTCCTCATAACTTGGAGCATGCCCCTGCCCCAAGTCTTTCCTGTGCAATCCCCTTGCCTCTAGCTAATAGGATGGCAGATGTTTGGACCAAACCCCAGAGCCTGTAGTATACCACATTTTAATGATTTGTGGTGAACAAAGTAAATGCTTTAAGAACAGGCTTTATGAATCAGGGGCCTAGTTAAGTATGATGGATTTGAGGCAAACCAAGAAGAAGCTGAATGTTGTATGGGGGTATTGTTTCCCAAACAGGGCATAGGTATCTACGGTTCATTGCTAATTCTAAAGGCTTGCTTGAAAAATGACTTTTTAAAGAACTGTGCTCTTGAGGAATGTCCTTGAGGCATGGAGGGATTTCCTTGATTTTCTAAAGCATCTTTCTGAGAGGACGCCGAGGTATTGAGCTGTTAGATAGTTGCTCAGTGTCTTTGTGCTTCTGGGACCACATTATAGGTCTAACACATATGGGATAAATAAACTATTTTCATTTCTTAAAGCCCATGGAAGGAAACCAGACAAGAAAATTACCATATTGCCTCATTTTTTTTTTCAAGGCTTTTAAAAAGGAGAATCCAGTGAGGGCAAATAAAAATGATTACTGCAAACGGGGTCCCACCCTTTCCTTCCTTCCTAGCCTTTTACTCAGCAACAGCAATGGCAAGAGTTGTGTCAAACCAGTGTTTTGATGCACCTTCTTCTGTTCTTCTTCCATAGGGCAACCCCTACATGTGCAATAATGAGTGTGATGCAAGTACCCCTGAGCTGGCGCACCCCCCTGAGCTGATGTTTGATTTTGAAGGAAGACATCCCTCCACGTTTTGGCAGTCTGCTACTTGGAAGGAATATCCCAAGCCTCTCCAGGTTAACATCACTCTGTCTTGGAGCAAAACCATTGAGCTCACAGACAACATAGTTATTACCTTTGAATCGGGGCGTCCTGACCAAATGATCCTGGAGAAATCTCTCGATTATGGACGAACATGGCAACCCTACCAGTATTACGCCACAGACTGCTTAGACGCTTTTCACATGGATCCCAAATCTGTGAAGGATTTATCACAGCGTACGGTCTTAGAAATCATTTGCACTGAAGAGTACTCTACGGGATATATGACAAATAGCAAAATAATCCACTTTGAAATCAAAGACAGGTTTGCATTTTTTGCTGGACCATGGCTACGCAATATGGCTTCTCTCTATGGACAGCTGGATACAACCAAGAAACTCAGAGATTTCTTTACAGTCACAGACCTGAGGATAAGGCTTTTGAGACCAGCGGTTGGGGAAATATTTGTAGATGAGCTACACTTGGCACGCTACTTTTATGCGATCTCAGACATAAAGGTGCACGGAAGGTAAGAAAACATCTGTCTGACTGGAATGAGAATGGTTGCTCAAAGAAACTGCCAGTATGTTGGTCCCACCGCTTAGAGAGACATGAGCCATTTTCTACTACAACATTTCCTCAGGAACACAGTCTAGAGCTAGGTCTGGAGAAATTTGAGACCCTTCTTACTCAGCAGTAATTTGTGATCCCAGACTCACTGTCACTGAACCTGAACCTGGCAGAATTTCTTAGAATTTAAACAGAAAGGGAGAAAAAAAAAAAAATTAGCATCTTATTTGAGTCCAAGGAACTCCCTAGATCAGGGGGTTTAAATCTTTAAGACAGTGAAGACAGGGGGAACAAAGCCAGCAACTCTTTAAAAGATACCAAAAAAACAAGAAATACATCTTTCCATTGTTTTCAAATGCCAGATAGGATTTCAACATGGTATCTCTTGCCGTTTACGTTTCATTGCATTGCACAAAGCACAGTTTCTAAACTGTGAGTTATATCCCTTTAAATTTATTAAATCAGAACCAAAAGCACTTAAGAAGCACAATGCATTTGTTAAAAAGGAGTGAACTCTGCTTTTCGGGGTTTTCATGGTTATTGCCTTAAAAAGATATGCTGCCACTTAAATATGGACCTGAGGGAGACTCCCTTCATTTTTCGGGTCAAATACAGATGGACCAGAGTTTAAAACCATTAGTGGTCACCGTCAGGCATATCTTTGGTTTTGATAATACATCAGAGACACACTTGAGCAAGTTTCCAAGAATTTTGAGGATGCTTTAATGAAAAACTCAGGTAATAAGAACTGGGACCTCTAAGGTAGAGCTGTTCAACCAGATTTCTTAACTGTGGTATGGTTGGTAACCAAATAACCAACTGACAGGAGTTGAAGCCTGAAGTAATTGGTTGAGAAAACCAAAAATCAGTGAGGTATACAGCAAAATGGAAAAAAGAGAAAGCAAAGCAATAATCATTCCAAAAATGCTGAGAGAGCTTCAAGTCAGAATAGATGAGTTTAAGAATATAAATGGCCCATAAATCATATAGGTCTCATTAGGCAATCCTAAAATTTAAGCAAATACAGCAGGCTCCATTAAGTGAATTGGCATCCAACATTCCTTAAGATAGCCCAGTCCTCAGAAACTGGAGAAGTGTTGAGACTCCCTGGTCTTTCTGAGAGTTGACTCAACCTATCTTTTTGATAATAGTATTGTAACTGTACAGTAGAAGGAAGGAGAGGCCACTGATGTTAAGGTGAAAGTCATAACGGGCACACAGAATGGAGTGGTGGGCATGACCTCAGTGTGGTAGTAGAGGTTTCAGATTCTGAACTGTGGGAAGCAGCAGGAACTGGATGTTCCTCCCGGAAGAGTCAGGAGTCTTTAGCAATGGAGCCTCTTTAAAAACCACTAACAAAGATCTTGATGACATACGATGAAGATTTCTTGAAAGCAGAATAGTATTTCTGCGAGGAGTAGGCGCTGGTACAGCACTGAACTTGTAGGTTGCAGGGTGTAGAAGAAGGCCTACGGATCAGCAGGGCACAACCAGAGGACAATCTGGAACTGGGGCCTGAAATATGAATTGGCTATTTATAGTAAAATGTAGCCATTATACTCCTAAATATTTTTGTAAGTCATCATCAGTTTCCAGTTCTTCTTCTTAGGGACTATAATATATAAAAATAATGGATGTTGATATTATTAACCATAACATTCTATAACAAAGTAACAAGTATTCAGTTCATCTACAAGAATAAGGGTCAAAATTCATAAGCTGAGGTTTGAATTTAAATCCTAGTGTGATCTTCACTGTTAGATAAAATCATGTAATTCAGTTTTCCTGCAGTTTGAGACATTTATAATCCAAGCCAAAATCCTTAGAGTCCAACTTCTGCAAACATTGTCTCATCTTCCACTGGTAAAGAAGTCAGTTGTGTGAAGCTTTTGGTTGGGAAGTAAACATTGTTGGAGCTTATTTGTGTTACTGCACATTCATTTTTTTTTTTAAAGATTTTATTTGTTTATTTGACAGACAGAGATCACAAGTAGGCTAAGAGGCAGGCAGAGAGAGAGGAGGAAGCAGGCTCCCCACTGAGCAGGGAGCCAGATGCAATGCAATGTGGGGCTCAATCCCAGGACCCTGGGATCATGACCTGAGCCGAAGACAGAGGCTTTAACCCACTGAGCCACCCAGGTGCCCCTGCACATTCATTTTTGTTTCCTCTGATTATTTAAAAAAGATGGTGTAAATACGCTTTAAAGTGACATTTTTATTAAAGTGAATAAAATTAAAGTGAATTAAAATTAAAGTGAATTTTTATGCCTTCTTTATGGGGGTCAAAGATACTATCCCTTAAAAGTGGCATGTTAGGAAAGTAGACTCCCACCAGATTTACCACTTTCTTTTATCTATGATCCTGCTAGTACCCTCCAACTGCATCTCATGGGCCTGGGGAAGTTGCAGGAGACATCCTCCCTTCTCTGGGACTCACCTCTGCCATCTTTTCCTGTTCACCAGTCAACTGTAAGCTAATGAGGAAGCAGCTGGGCAAGAGGGAAAGGTCCAGTAGAGGTGAGCTCCTTCCATAAGGGCCCCCTCTATCACCTCTAAACTCTGTCCAAATTCCTCAGGGCAAAACTGATGCTGGCGTGTACCATGCTAGGCACCAGATGGCTGGGGTATTTTTATCTTAGGGGTGAGACTACGGAAGCAAGGCCTGACGGCTCAGGCGTGTCTCCAGCTTTTAAGTTATATAAGGGAAATGGAGGCAGTAAAGAGAGCGGTTGAGCCGCCCCTGGTGCAGGAGCCTTTCAGTACAGAAGCTGATCTGTACATTTTACCCTTGAAAACTTCAGTAGGATTAGTGGTCTAGATCGTCTGTTTCATAGATAGCAAATCATCTGTAGAAAGATTGAATATTAATTGATGATACCCAAAGGAAAGTTCTAAGGGTTCCTTTTCAAAGACGTCATCAATAGAAACTTTCCAAAATATAACAGGCCTTTGTCTCCCTCAGCCCTCTCTCTACCATCCCTGAAATGACTGCAGCACTTAACACGCCATTACGTGAATATATCTGATCATTAGAAGGATACTTTTTGACTTCTTACTCTACTACTACCCACACTGTAATGTGGGAATTGGTGTGAATTATTTGGGGAAAGTGGGCAGATATCCATAAGAGATACAATATAAGCAATACAAGATTTTTCAGCTATGAAACAAACACAGGTAGAGAATCTTTGAATTGACAATGAATTCCAATTCTCAGCTTCTCATGCACGTGTGCACACGGCTTTTGTGTTTCATACTGGTTACTATTTGGTGTAAAAATAATATTTTGATTGTTATTAGAAGAATGTAGCATTTATGTTCCTTTTAGCATGCCACACATCACATACCTATTTACTGGTGACAAAAACTATAATCCCATCATAAAAATTTTATGCCTCTTTGGCTGCATACTTATTTTGCTTCCATTTACTCCCTCTCATTGTGTATTTATTAAGATAATGGAGGGAAAAGAGGAAACATGGCTGTTGGCAATCTCAGCGACTCCATAGTACTTACATTGTTCAATAAACCTAATAATCTTCATGGACTAATTCTGACTTATGGTTGTCCTACTTCAGTAAATCAGGGTGATTTTCTCTAGTGAATAATAGACGAGTTCAGTGTGCCAGTACCTTAATTAAAGAGTGGCTCTCTTAGTCTTGATCTCATTTTAATTTACAGGGTAATACTACAATAATATCACTAATGGAAGGTACATTAAAGGGCATCAAGTAGCATTAACTGTATTAAATTATGGTACTTGTGTTAATTAACTGTTGAAGCAAGATGGTTCTAATGGCCAAAAAGGTCGTCTAATGCATAAATAAAATCTACCCAGATGAGAGGTGAGAGGAGAAATGAAGAGTAGATATTTGTTCTGAACATCTTTTTATACAGATAGGGAGTTCAATTCATAGGCTGTTAAATATAGTTAATGTCCAAAATGTTTTCTTAGTTACACAATTAGAAATTTTGATTTTTAAATATTTTGTTTCCTTCTAAGCTTTCCATAATTAAATTAGTTGAAAAGTTGAACACTATCTTTGTCAGATGCATAGGTTTTATAGTCTATTAGCTCAGCATTATTTATTGTTTCTTTGAGATGAACAGTTTCAAGGAAGCAATGTGATTTATTATAATAATTGTTAAATCTGAAAGACAAATGAACATTTGACAATGTGCTCATTTATCTGTAAGATGTGCTACCAGCAATGTATCAGGCTACTGATTTCAGACATAAGATAATAGAAAATCTTTTTCAACCTCAAAAACTTTAGGATGGAATTGTCAGAACTTTTCTCAATGACCTAGAAAACTCTAACCCACATCTCCATTACTTGCCTCATTACACAATATTTCTGAACATAATTATCAATAATTTTTTTCATAATTTTTTTCTCTGTGGTGTTTATTCATTTCTTACCCCTTGCTGTGCCAGCCCAAGCACCTCACAGGTAGTTAGCTATTAGCCCAAGCACCTCACAGGTAGTTAGCTGTCCCTTCCTGTTTACAAAATTGATTTTGTCTTGTGTGCCCCATTGTTTATCTCCAAGATAAACAAGATAAACTGGGACTGATGCTGGCTTAGATAGTGGGTATATAGAGATGCACAAGGCATAGTCAACGCTCTCAAGGAGCTGAAACCAGAATGGGCACAGACATGGTGGGGGGAGCAACTTGGGTCCAGTGCTTTTGCCACCTGAATGTGATGACAGGGAAGGCTCTACTGATATAATCTGCAAAGCCTAGGAAAAGCTTTGATGAGGATGTCACACTTGCATGGCAACTTGAAATCAGTGCTGTGGAATGCTGAGTAGCCAGGGTGGAATGGCTGTTCTGGGTGACCAGTTATGAGAACAGCACAGCCTGTTAAGGAAATCCAGATAGTTGGGAACTGGCCTGAGTGGACAAATCCTGGGGAAGCCCTTCTATCTTCTCTCTGTGGATCTTCAGCGTCTC